CCAGTTTATTATATAATAAAGGATCTGAGAAAGAATACAGATGAACAGCCAGATGAAGAGGTACGTGGAACGAGGTCTGGAAGGGTCTCAAGTTCAGGAGCTTCTGTTCCTGTGCGGAGCTGGTATGCACCACAATCCCGGAACATGGATGTGTTTACCAACCTGGAAGCTTTCCAAACCCTGTACCATTGGGACTTTTATGGAGGTTTCATCGACTCGTCATAATTGATTATTAACTCTCTTTGCAGCCTCTCTACAGAGAATGTGAGAGAGGGCTGAAAGTCCTAAGCTTCTAATCATGGCTTGATTTTTGTGGGGACCAGCGCTCATTCAGAAGCTTACCAAGAGTTGCCTCCTTAGGACAAAAGACATTGCTATCACTCAGGAAATGACAAGAGTTTTTAGGAGCTCTTTGGCCAGGGTCAAAGACCAAATATGAAAACAAAAGGTGCTCCTGGTGCTCTTCCCACCTCGGAAATTACGAGGGCTTTAGGAGCTCTGTGCCGGAAACTGAGGACTGAGGCATATATGCATATTCTAGTTGACAGGCACCTGGGGGTGAATAAAGAGTATAAGTGGGTATTGAGTGAGAAGCGTTTTAGGAAGCAAGCAAGAGGGGAGAGCTCTAGAGCACTGGATATCTGAATTCTAGATCAGGGAGGCAGGGTCAGGATCAGGATGTTGGCCGTCATAGGAGGGGAGGTCAGCGACGAAGTACTATGCAACTTCACTCATTCATGTATCCACTTAACAAATACTTATGAAATATCTCTTATGCCCTGTACTAGTTGGAGGTGGAAGAGTGACAAAGTCTTCCTTGTCTCGTGAGAAGACAGGTTATTAATAATTGCCATAGCAACCACACACAAAAAGATAGAGAAGTATAACGTAAGTGCACATGGCATTTATATCTCTTTTATTTCACCGGGGTATTCCCCACACCTAGACCAGTGTTTGGCATATAATAGGACTCGGTAAATATCTTTTGAATGAGGGAATAAACATAAGGAACACCTAATCTAATTGGGGAGTGGGCACTGAGTGTTTGGGAAATCATGCAGCAGGAAGTTACATTTCAGATAGGTCCTTAAAGAGGAGTAGGACATAGGCAGAGATGAGAAGCTTCTGTGTTCCAGGCACCAGGAATAGAAAGTTGAGAGAGAGCCTTGTAGGTTCAAGACACTTTTACAGATGAAATATAAGGACGGAGACACCAGCTTAAAGAGTTGGTACTTTTTTCTGAGTACAGTGGGAAGCCATTGAAGGATTTTAATCATGGACAGATAACCATCTATTTTTGGTTTCAGAGGGATTATTTCACTACAACACGGGAGAACGAATTTAAAGGACATAAACCTGGAATCAGGAAGGCCAGGTGGCAGGCTTTTGTGGCTGTCCAAGGGAGACAAGTCTGGATTATGGCCGTGTGTGCAGCGATATAAAATGGTGGATGAACTTGGCAAATATTTTAAGCAGTAGCCCATGGCTAGTCTTGCACACAAAATTTTTAAAAAGTCACATTGTGGAATCAGTCCATTAAGATGAAGAAAATCAAAATTACTCAATTCTTTCGTGATGATTGATTTTATGTACCAATTTGAAAGGTGTCTTGGGGTGAGATTAACATTTAAATTGGTAAACTTCTGGTAAAGCAGGTTGATCTCCATAGTGTGGGTGGGCTTCATCTGATCAGTGGAAGGCCTGATCAGAGCAAAAAGACTGTCTTCCCGTAGCAAGAGAGAATTCTCCAGCAGACTGTCTTTGGACTTAATCTTTACCTTCAGCTCTCTTGGGCCTCCAGGCTGCCAGCCCACACTGCAAATTTGGACTTGCCAACCCCCGTAATCACATGTGCCCATTTCTTTTTCTTTTCTTTTCTTTTTTTTTTTTTTTGAAGTTTATTTATTTTGAGAGAGAGCAGGAGGGAAAGAGGGAGAGACAGAGAATCCCAAGCAGGCTCCACACTGTCAGTGCAGAGCCTGATGTGGGGCTTGAACCTATGAACCATGAGGTCATGATCTGAGCCAAAATCAAGAGTCAGAGGCTTAACTGACTGAGCCACCCAGGTGGCCCATATGAATCAATTTCTTATAATCTATCTAATAATCTATCTATCTATCTATCTATCTATCTATCTATGTCTATCTGTCTCTTATTGGTTCTCTTTCTCTGGAACACCAACTAATACATTGTTGAATTAAGAACACAAGAGGGGCGCCTGGGTGGCGCAGTCAAGCTGGGTGCTGTCCGGACTTCAGCGCCAGGTCACGCATCTCAAGGGTCCGTAAGGTTTGAGCCCCAAGGCCAGGTTCTGGCTGATGGCTCAGTATTCAAGCTCGCTTCCCATTCTGTATGTCTCCCCTCTCTCTGCCCCTCCCCTGCTCATGCTCTGCTCTCTGTCCCAAAATAAATAAACGCTGAAAAAAAAAAATTAAAAAAAAAAGAACACAAGAAAAAAATGGTCTAGATTTCTCAGATGTTTGATCTCAAGAAGCCATTATTGAAATCCACTCCAGGCAACATATGATCTCAATATACACTAAGAAGATAGGTCTAGGAATTCAGCCAAATGTGAATATGAAATTTCATCAGACTTTAAAACAAATCTAATGTTGATGATACCTAGTGGTATATTGCTTTCGATATGACTCTGATTCTTGAACTTGACAACACATTTTTTAGAAATTAAGTGTATGATGATCAGAGCTAGGTGAGAATTTACAGGTTGTTAGTTTGACCCTATTATTTTTTAGTTGTGAAAAATGCCTAATTCCATCAGCATTTATGAGCACTGCCCAGGATTATATAGCCAGGAGGAAGCTCTGGGATGTAGCTGATGGCCAGCTTAGACTTGAGGGTTAGAGTATGGCCCTCCTCAGCTGCGTGTGTGGGAAGAAGGGACATGGGGCATGTTATCCATGGTTGATTAATTAGATCAGTTCAAACACAGAATTAATGATGCTGATGTGATGGGTTTTAGTCTCATGAGCTAATTAACATCAGTTGTATTATTTTGTCACAGGCGGAGTTACTAGCCCTTAGTGGTTTGTTCCTCACAACTATGTGCTATGGGTCACAGTCTGCAAGAGAATGTGGCTGATTCAGAACAAGTTCATGCCACCACTCACAGAAATAATTACAATGAAAACGTGTAGATTTTTACTTGCTCAACATCCTTTCTTGCCTCTTGGAAATAAGTGACATTCTTACCTCAGAGGAATGCCCCTTCTGTTGCATGAAGTTCCAGTGGGGCCACCTATCAGAGTCCCTCTCATCATCTATGGTTGCATGGCAGACACACCCGATCCCAGCCAACCAGATCTTCTCTCTTGGGAATATGAATCTTGATGGGGCACAGGGACCTGAAAGCTGTTAGAGCTGAGTCATCCAGTGGTTGTGTCCTATGGTTCCTGTTGTCGACCACCATAGTAGTGGTCTGGGGGTTTCTACACTAGAAGTCCAGCAACCGACCTAGTTCTGATTTTTCCTGAGGTCAGGTTGCTCAACTTGTCCTGCTGTCCTCTTCCAGTAAGTGTCCATTTCTTACTTAAGATGAGTTTTTTGTAGCTTTCAGCCAAACATCCTGATGCAACAACTCAACATGCCTATTTTTCAGTGAACCATATCTTACTCTTTTATTCATTCATTCAATACAATGATCACCGGCCATATTTTGGCACAGTTTTAGATGTGTTGGATTCTTTTTATCAGAAATGTTATGCGTGCATATACACCACGCAGAAGGTACACGTGTCCTGGAAACACGCCTTTCTTACGGAGTAGTCACTGCATTGTACAGTTGATACACGGTAATCCAAAATTTTCTGAAAATGGGATCATACTATAAATATGATATATATAGTTACTTACAGAACTAAACATATTCTTACCACACGATCCAGAAGTTGCGCTCCTTGGCATTCATCCAAAGAGCTGACAACATATGTCCACACAAAAATCTTCACACAGACATTTATAGCAGCTTTATTCATAACTGCCAAAACTTGGAAGCAACCAACATCTTCTTCAGTGGATAAATGGATAATAAACAGTATACATCCAGGCAGTGGAATAGTATTCAGTGCTAAAAAGAAATGAACTATCAAGCCATGAAGAAACATGGAAGAAACTTAAACGCGTGTTCCTAAGCAAAAGGAACTAATTTGAAATGGCCACATACTAAAGGATTCCAACTGTATGACCTTCTGGAAAAGGTAAAACTATGGAAACAAGAAAGACATCAGCGGTTGCCACAAGTTAGCAGGGAGAGAGGAATGAATGGGCATAGCGAAGAGAATTTTCAGCAGTGAAAATACTCTGTATGATACTATAATGGTGGAAACATGTCATTACACATTTGTCCAAACCCATAAAATGTACACCACCAGAAGTGAACCCTAATGCAAACCATGGGTTTACAGTCTGGATGGTTAGCGATGTGTCCGTGAAGGTTCATCAACGGTAACAAACGCACCACTCTAGTGGGGGGAATGTTGGTAGTGGGTGGAAGGAAGGAAAGAAGGAAGAGGAAAGCCAGCCAGCCAGGAGCCTGGTGGGGGTGGGGGTGAGAGAGCAGGTGGCATTGTGAAGGCTTTGGTGATGCGTGCTCCCAGCTGTGTGGGCCTGCTGGTCTCGGTCACAACCACTGGCCAACGCCTTCTCCCAGCCCCATCTTGGAAATGTGATCCCTTTCACATGTACTCGGTGAGTGCACTAGATATGACCCCTTGATTGGAAGTGCTGAGATCTCCGAAAACAACCTAGGGAAAGATTGGATGCAGCCAGCCTTGGATAATGTCGTTTTCTAGCACTTGCCATTAGCTCTGTCTAAACTGACTCCATGTGGAAGACTTGGCTCCTGTGCTCCAGAGAAAGTGCCTCGAGTCTTGCTACTATTTGATATTCGGGCTCCAGAGATGCTGGGTCTGCTCCTAACATTTGGTTTGCATTACACATATGTTGCACAGATCTGCTTGAGAGACTTATGCTCTCCCTTTTAGGGTGGCCTCGCTGAGAAGGCAGAAGGAGGCAAAAGATGAATTGCTTTTTGGACTCAAACATGGCCAACTGGTTGCTGACATGGCAGATAATACCTTAGGACCTGGTGACTCGGTCATCTTAGAGTTCGTGAACCAAGGAAGGGAATGCTGGGAATGGTCTCGCACGGAAAGTGGAAGTCAGACCCTCAGAGACAAGGCAGGTAAAATTCCATGGTCAGAAATTCCTTTTTTATTTTATTTTGTTTTAAGTTTATGTATTTATTTTGAGAGACAGAGCACGAGTGGGGCAGGAGCAGAGAGAGGGAGAGAGAATTCCAAGCAGGCTCCGTGCTCTCAGCACAGAGCCCGATGTGGGGCTCGAACTCATGAATGGTGAGATCATGACCTGAGCTGAAATCAAGAGTCAGACGCTCACCTGACTGAGCCACCCAGGCACCCCCCGTGGTCAGAAATTCTAAAGGAGGGTATGGTTAATAGAAGATTACATTTTCCAGAATAATTTAAATATACTTCTAATAATGCAATCCCAAACAATCCCAGTGATGATTTCAGTGGGGCTGGGACAGATCATTTGCGTGTGGTTTACTCAGTTGACATTTATCAAATTCTTAATGTATGCTAGGAACCATGCGAAACCCTTCACAAGTATTTTCTCACTCAAACCTCAGATGATCTGTTTGTTAGGTATCATTGTTATGCCCATTTTACAGATGAGAAAACCAAGTTTCACATGGTTACATGAATCGGCCAAGATCATACAACTGGTAGTTTCTCAAATCTGGATTTGAACCTAGACAGTCTGTAGAGTTTATGCTCTTGACCATTTTCTACATGAAAGAGAGGCCCAGACCTGGACGGTAGTATCAGGATACACAAAGCCCAAATGAAGCTAGAGGTTATGAAAATACTAAATTGTTAACAATTTATATTCAAAGCAGTACTAATGAGGCAACAACAGGCCCATTTTGGGGGGGAAGCAAATAATATAGCTCAGGATGACAAACAGGTTTCAGCTTGCACGACAATTCCAGGTGACTGATGGAGACTATCTGGGACACGCTGTTGAAAAGGTTTCTGAGGCAGCGTCCAGGCTGAGTTGGAAAGAGTGCTAAGGGGCTCCTGGGTGGCTCAGTGGGTTAAGCCTCCGACTTGGATTTCAGCTCAGGTCATGATCTCACAGTTCAGGAGTTCAATCCCTGCATCAGGCTCTCTACTGTCAGCACAGAGCCTGCTTCATTTCCTCTGTTCCCCACCCTCTCTCTCTCTACCCCTCCCCTGCGTGCTCTCTCTCTCAAAAATAAATAAACATTTTTAAAGAAATGAAAAAAGAAAGAGGGCTGAGATTAATTAACGATAGCTGCTAAGGGTGCAGGGGTTGGGGAGAGGCAGAAAGTGCTGTGTGTGCGTCATTTTTTTTTTAATTTTCCTTTTAATGTTTACTTATTTTTGACAGAGAGAGACTGAGAGTGTGAGCTGGGGAGGGGCAGAGAGAGAGGCAGACACAGAATCCAAAGCAGGCTCCAGGCTCCAAGCTGTCAGCACTGAGCCCGATGCGGGGCTCGAACCCACAAACCGCGAGATCATGACCCGAACCAAAGTTGGACGCTTAACCGACTGAGCCACCCAGACACCCCATCGTCATTCTTGGTAGAAGCCCACAGGGGTCACAAGGAGAGCAGGATTTCTTCAAGGAGTTAGGCAAAAATTGAAATAGATATGTGGCCAGCATCAGAGCAGTCTAACCATGACAAACGGTATCTGTCCTGACGCCACACTGCAGGTGGCCTCAGGGGAGTCTGCACTTACGTGGATGCACCAGCTTGTTCTTCAGAGTCAGTGGCCGAGTATCCAAGGGTAACTAGTAAGAAGAACAGGATCTCGGAAGAAATTAGGTGACTCAGTGACTTGGATTGTGGTCTCGAAGGAGAAAGCAAGAGCTAGAGGCATGGTCCCAAGAGGCCAAGTTGGAGTGAGGTTGGCAACATGGCTGTAACACGGTTCCCCAGAGCTATGGGGCTCCAGTCTGTGGGTGTCTGTCCATCCAGGGTCTGAAATGGTTCTACAATACAAAGAGGGACAACTGGGAATTAGGAAGCCCCGTTTGTTTGTGAAGCTTGAGAGAAAACAAGGCAAGAAAGCAGTATGCCTCACACCCATTCCATGGAGAGAAAATGGGGAAACTGGTTTGGCAACCAGTCAAGGGACAAAGGCCTAGAGGCTTTCAGTTGATGCTAAATTAAATGGAAGCAACAACTAACATGCTAATGCATTAAAAGCTAACGCAGGGCACCTTGGTGGTTCAGTCCGTTAAGCATCTGACTTTGGCTCAGATCATGATCTCATGGTTTGT